AGGCTCAGGCAATCCACTCACCTCAGCCTCCCAAAGGGCGCGGGATTACAGGCTGAGCCACCAAGCCCGGCTTGTGTTTTTTTAATAAGGAAAAAATTATGTAGTTATTGTATAGAAATATAGATGGTGAAAACTTAAGGTTAATGCCTATGGACTTATATATACTCCAGTCACTACCAGAAAGACAACTGTAGTGTGGCCATGTCTGTCTTCAGAAATCATCAAAGTTGATGGGTCTATTTTAAGTTCTAATTCAGGCCTAATTAGATTTTATACCTTTGTTGTTAAAACACAGCATTGTCAGCCGGGCTCGGAGGCTCAGCCTGTAATCCCATGCCTTTGGGAGGCTGAGGTGAGTGGATTGCCTGAACCCGCAGGTTCGAGACCCACCAGGGCAACTTGATGAGACCTCATCTCTACAATAAATCAAAAAATCAGCTGTAGCGCATGCATAAATCAAAAAATTAGCTGGGCATGGTTGCATGCACCTGTAGTTCCAGACTTGGAAGGCTGAGGTGGAAGGATGACCTGAGCCTAGCAGGTCGAGGCTGCAGTGGCCGTGAGTGTACCACTGTCCTCCAGCCTGGGTGCCAGTGAGACTCCAACTCAAAATAAATAAATAAAGCATAGCATTGTGGTATGGGGAGAGATACGTAGATTACTTAGGAGATTTAACTAATTTAACGAGGTTTGGTTGATTAGCTGCTAAGCAAGCACTGTATTCTAAAGCTGGAGAAATGGGACATTACCTAACCACCACAATTCCACGTGGTATAAAAAGGGTACAGAGAGGGCAGATATTTGGCTTAATCAGTAGGCAAGGGATGGTGAGATGAGGGTCCAGAGAAAGCTCAGGCTCAGTGTTGAATGATTATCTGAGTCAAGTAGTGGAGGATGTGGGGGAGAAGGATCCATATGTAGAAGCATGAAAAGGAGAGAACATAGAATGCTCATTTTTCGTAGCTTGATGTGACCAAAGAATAGGTGTATGAGTAGAAGTAGTAGGAAGTGAGTCTGGAAAGGTGGCAGGGACAGCTGAAGGGCCTCTGTAAGCTTATGCTGAAGCATTTGACTTCTTTAAGCCATTATAGTAGTGTGATGGAGTTTGCATTTTAGAAAGATTAGATCATGCCAGTATGGAGAAGGGGTTAGAGAAGAGAAAGATCGAAGTACACAAACCATTTAGAAAATTTATAGCTGGGCTCGGTGGCTCAGCCTGTAATCCTGTGCCTTTGGGAGGCTGAGGTGAATGGA